GGTACGATTTGTCAAATAATGATAGACTAAATAATTCATCTAGACGATTTCGCTCATAATTATTAAAACAATTTAAGTCAATTAATCTCTTCATTGTATTATTAGCGCTGTATATGTCGATTGCCATTGAGTTAGAGTTAGTGTCATCACTGATACAAAGATTTTTAATTTGGTCTAAATCTGTGATAATTATTACAGCATTGTCTGTAGATTTCATAGACATTTCGTATAAATCTATTTCATCTGTCATCTCGTTTGGATCAATGTTTGCCATTTGTGTAATACATTCACTAATCTCATCATCTATTGTGATGTTATCCATTGAATTGTCAACTGAAGTATCAATTGTCCCGATGTTTGACACATCAGATGAAGTGTTTGTATTTAATTCATTATTATTATTATTTGTGTCTTTCAAACCATTTGTCCTCAACTTTCTGTTTGTCTCAATTGTATGTCTTCGCGATTCCCTCTCTTCTTCATTAAGAATCCATTCCTTTATAACAATAATAATAATAATTTAATTTTATAATTAATTGTTTGTAATTAGAGATAATAAGAAATATAACAATTATATCAATTTGTAATCACTTTTTTCATGCCCACAGCGAAACACTTTTTGAGCCGACACTTCTTGCATAGTCTGCGGTTTGTTTTACCGATAATACAATTGCCATTAAATCTACATTTATATATCTATTGATTGTAAAAACAATTAATTAATTAATTATAGTATTGATTAATTAATGGTTAAATCTCTTATACCTCATACTTGAAGGCGTTTCTCCGAAAGAAGGCTTTACACGACTGACAAGTAATGGCACAAAAGTTATAGCCTTATAATTTGGAAATTAGTATCATGGTTAGTATTTTAAAATTTTATTAGCACTATTGATTAAATGAATATTGATTGAATTAAATTCATACCGGTCGCTTTTTCACCACAAACCACACAGATCTTGGGTTTACCCTTAATTTTCTTATATCTCGGCATTATTTACAATTAATTACTTGTATTAATTATTTTCAAAAGTACTGTTTTAATAATGATTTTTTAATTATTAAAATACACTGTTATATAATTTATAAATTTGGTAAATCATAAGTTGTATTCGTTTAATATTGTCTATAATAAAAGTGATTTTGTTATGGGAGTGCAATAGTTATACTATAATCTTATCAATTTTTATGGAGACCTTTGAAATAGCAATCTAATCATAAATAAATATAATGCATGTTATTCTAGTAAATGTCATATGAAAATAATAATTAAAACTAATAACTTATAATTGTGTAACTGATATGTTTTATTTGCCATTAAATTTTATTTACTGTTATAATACTGTTTAAATTGTAATACATTTGTATGCATCAAAAAGATTGTTATTGTTAATTTTGAATATGCATGATCAAGAATGACAAATAAATTATATCATTTATTTAATTAACATATTTATAAATAAAATTAATACAATGTAACTATACAATGTAATTTATACAGTTAATAAACATTAGAGCATTAATATAAAATAACAAAATTAAAAATTAGTTAACAATTTGTTGGCAAATCAATGACCTCTTTAAGAAGCGGTGAACAGAATTCAGACTTTAATTCTCTATACTTTTGTTTTGATAATTCATTAAACACTTGAATGTATCGCAGAATTTGTAATATTTTTGAATACTTTCCGTCAAAATTGTTACCATATTTTATACGTAAATATTTTTGAAGTAAATACATGTATAGCTGTTGTTGTTGTCTATTGTAAATAACAAGAATATTCTGTATTAATAATTCATTGCAATTAGTTAATATTGATTACTACTTACTCTATAATCTCTTTGTTGATAATGTTTGGCCGATCGGAATTAAATAGTATTACAGGCATTAACTATATTTAATTCAACATTTAAAATATAAAGCAATAAATTATATTATATTTTTTACATCGAAATAAATACC